GCTGTTTTTAATGTGTTCTTACACTCAATACTTTTTCCATGAAGATTTCTGGGATGTAGCAGGTGTCCCCCAGGGTGGGCCACAACACCGAAGAGGAAAACACTGACCAAGGCTTCGTGCAGTGAAGGTGGTTCAATGTGGGGTGGAAGAAGGAGGGCAACAAGGGGGGGGGGGATCCAGAAACAGGGAAGGGGAGCAACCAGAAGAGGTTTGTCAATGAACGGGAGGGGGTTTCCAGTTGCCTTGACTGTCATGACAGAGAAGCGCCAGTTGGTCAAAAGTCTGATATCACTCAGCGGCTGGATTTTCGATCGGAAATTAGACTTGGCCTGCTCAAAGCGGAGTTGCACTGCATTCGGTCTGTGCACCAGTGAGGATGGTGCAAGGCTGCGGTCCAAATTACAAGGGGAAAAGAAGAGGAAGAAGAGGAGAGACGGATAAGAGATGCCTGTATACTGTTCTTGGCTTCGAGGCTGGCTTCTCTTTACTGCTCCATCAATACCTTTGCAAACTCCGAGCGAGTAACAAGAGATGGGATGCAGGGAGGGCCTAGGGAGGTAGAGTTTCGAAACTGAGAAGAGAGTACGCCAGGGAGGTAACGTCAGCTCTTGTGGGCAGTCTATGCGCAAAGATAAATGCATCAATTCACCCGAGAAAGGAGTCTTTTGAAAGAGGGACAACACTGGCTGGCTTTGTTGCATCCTGCTTGGGTGGGGGGGGGGGGGGATTGCATCCCCTGAGAAGCGTCTCTGTTTCCAGAGTGACCACTGACCCTCCGGACTCAGCCGCGTGTTATTCAAGACTGGGCTTAATCCAAAAGCAGGATGACCAGTATCGAGTGATTCGGAGGCTGAAACAAAACCTACGCAAGGGCTCCCCAGGTGTGCCAAATCCAGGTAGAGGGAGCTCTTTCCCATCCATCCATGGACAGAATCACTGGGTTGCTTTGAGTTTTCCAGGCTGTCCGGCCATGTTCCAGAAGCATTCTCTCCTGACATTTCGCCCACATCTATGGCAGGCATCCTCAGAGGTCGTGAGGCCTGTTAGATGTGGGCAAAATATCAGGAGAGAATGCTTCTGGAACATGGCCAGACAGCCTGGAAAACTCACAGCAACCCAATCAGGAGGCAGCTTGCTAAACACTAAAGCCACTAAGTTAATTAAACAACAACACAACCCCTGAGGATGCCTGCTGTAGATGTGGGCAAAACATCAGGAGAGAATGCTTCTGGAACATGGCCAGACAGCCCCGGAAAACTCACAGCAACCCAATCAGGAGGCAGCTTGCTAAACACTAAAGCCACTAAGTTAATTAAACAACAACACAACCCCTGAGGATGCCTGCCGTAGATGTGGGCAAAATATCAGGAGAGAATGCTTCTGGAACATGGCCAGACAGCCTGGAAAACTCACAGCAACCCAATCAGGAGGCAGCTTGCTAAACACTAAAGCCACTAAGTTAATTAAACAACAACACAACCCCTGAGGATGCCTGCCGTAGATGTGGGCAAAACATCAGGAGAGAATGCTTCTGGAACATGGCCAGACAGCTCCGGAAAACTCACAGCAACCCAACCTGATCCAAATCTACTAGGAGGGACCCCAATTGGGTCATTCCATGCCAAGTGGTCTAAAATTTCTAAAAACCCCTCACCGTCATGTTCTCCAATGTTGTTCAAATGTTAGGTGTGCAAATCAGGTGTTATAAACTAAGTTTCCCAAAATGTGAGGTCTCTATAGTTGCTGATCTAGACCCCCTTCTCTGAAGAATAGTCAGTCCACATGCACACGGCATTTAAGAAAATGCCATTTTGGGGCTCTAATAATACTGAAACGAAATGTATAAGAATGGCTAGTAAATTGAAACCCTAGACCAGGGGTGCTCAATTTTTTTAAACAGAGTGCCATGTCACAGTCCCTCAAAGTGTTGGAGGCCGAATTATAATTTGGAAAAAAATAATGAATGAATTCCTATGCACACTGCACATCTCTTATTTGTAGTGCAAACTACACTTAAAACCAATACAATAATTAAAATGAAGAACAATTTTAACAAATATAAACTTATTAGTATTTCAATGGGAAGTGAGGCCCTGCTTTTCAGTGATGACATAGGATTGTTGTTGTCGTCGTCGTGTGCTTTCAAGTAGTTTGGCCACGTTGGAAGTCTTCAGGAAGAATCTGAAGGCCTGGCTATTCCGATGTGTCTTTCCGGAATAGGATAACCTCCAGCACTACGTCCCAGAAGCACTTTATTAGAGTTTAAGACTCTCTGCACTTTGCACTTGCCCGGAAATCCAACATACCACCTGCCACATCCAGCACTTTTTAACCTGTCCTGGTTTTTATTGCGTAATGATGTAATGTTTTGTTATTGCTTATGCTTTTAATTTGCTTTAAATTGTATTGTTATTGTTTTGCTGTTGTTGTGTTGAGGCCTTGGCCTTTGTAAGCCGCATCGAGTCCTGCGGGAGATGCTAGCGGGGTACAAATAAAGTTTCATAGTAATAATAATAATAATAATAATAGTTTCAGACTAAAGTTGACCATGAGAGAGGGCTGGGTAAATGACCTTGGAGGGCCGTATCCGGCCCCCGGGCCGTAGTTTGAGGACCTCTGCCCTATACAGTGTTACCTCGCTACTTCAATTATTTTGGCTCAGAGGACGGTGCATCCAGGCACCAAATTTTGATTCAACGTCCAAAACGTAGGCCATCTCAGATTCCAGAGGGAAGTGCTGAACTATTCAGGATTCTACCCCTGCCGTGAAATTTCCCTTCGGTCCACCAATGCCTACGATTGCATTAACGTAAAAGTTGAGCATTGAAAAATACAGTTCGGAGAAGAGATCTCGGTGTGACCCAGCTCTCTGTAAGGCTAGAAATGTGGGGACTGGGGGAATATTTTGGGGTGCAAATTCTTCTTTCAAGAAGCCATGCCCTTTCGCCTTCCCCGGGTGTCACCTGCTCGAGGAGGCCGTTCCCTGCTGTCTCTGAGCCTCAAAGTGGCAGGAAAGGAAGGGAAAAAACAACGCATGCAAATGGATCCGGATTTAGCCCTCAGCTGCTGTCAGTCACTATAGATAAGGATGGGTCGGGAGAAAGATCTCAAGCTGTAGACATCAGCTTCCTACGTTCTTGCAAAGGTGGTATATTGCAAGCGTATACACTCCCTGACTGACTGTGATGAGCAGGAAAGGGAAACGGCTTCCGTGCTGAAAAAGAATTAACTCTCTTTCAGTACATCAATGCGCCATTGAAAACGCCAAGCGAGTCATCCCGAAACAGGGAAATCACTCGGCACATGCACCGGGAAACGCAATCTCCCCTTTCTCGTTGTGCCAGCAGGTCATATTGGAGAGGACACGGAGAACAGGAGGGAGGAAAAGACAGAGTAGTCAGGGATAAGGAAGCAAAACTGGGCTGGAACAGATCCAGGCAGAGATTTCTGATGCAATCCAAGGAAACATTGCCGACATATTCAGGCAAATTTGTATTACGTTCCACAAGCTTCTAGACCAGGCCTGGGCCAACTTGGGCCCTCCCTCCAGGTGTTTTGGATTTCATCTCCCACAATGTGGGTATGCAGATGACCCTTTGATTGACTGTAGTGTCCAGTTCCAAGAGGACAAAGGCCTGGGTCAACTTGGGCCCTCTCTCCAGGTGTTTTGGACTCCGGCTCCCACGACATGGGTATGTTAATAACCCCTTGATTGACTGAAGTGCCCAGTCCCAAGAGGACCAACTTGGGCCTTCCCTCCAGGTGTTTTGGATTCCCAACTCCCACAACATGGGTATGCAGATGACCCCTTGACTGACTGAATGCTCAGTACCAAGAGGACAAAGGCATGGGCCAACTTGGGCCCTCCCTCCAGGTGTTTAGGACTTTAGCCCCCATAACGTGGGTATGCATATGGCCCCTTGACTGACTGAAGTGTCCAGTTCCAAGAGGACAAAGGCATGGGTCAACTTGGGCCCTCTCTCCAGGTGTTTAGGACCTCAACTCCCATTACGTGGGTTTGCAGATGATCCCTTGATTGACTGAAGGGTCCAGTTACAAGAAGACCAAGGCATGGACCAACTTCGGCCCTCCCTCCAGGTGTTTTGGACCTCAACTGCCATTATGTGGGCATGCAGATGATCCCTTGATTGACTGAAGTACCCAGTCCCAAGAGGACCAACTTGGGCCCTCCCTCCACATGTTTTGGACTTCAGTGCCCACAACATGGGTATACAGATGATCCCTTGACTGACTGATATGTCCTGTTCCAAGAGGTCAAAGGCATGGGCCAACTTGGGCCCTCCCTCCATGTGTTTTGGACTTCATCTCCCACAACATGGGTATGCAGATGATCCCTTGACTGACTGATGTGTCCTGTTCCAAGAGGTCAAAGGCATGGGCCAACTTGGGCACTCCCTCCACGTGTTTGGGACTTCATCTCCCACAACGTGGGTATGCAGATGATCCCTTGACTGACTGATGTGTCCAGTTCCAAGAGGTCAAAGGCATGGGCCAACTTGGGCCCTCCCTCCAGGTGTTTTGGACTTCATCTCCCACAACATGGGTATGCACATGATCCCTTGATTGATTGAAGGATCCAGTTACCAGAGGACAAAACCTCAGGAAGGAGCCTGACGCCGTTAGGAATGCTGGGAGTCCAAAATACTTGGAGACCTCCATTTTGTCCATGCCTCTTCTGGAGTGTGTCATAGGCAAACCCAGAATTCTGGAAACTGGAATAAAAAGTGGAGAATCAGTAAAACACAGGAGAGAAATGGAGTTGTTTCTGAGACCAAGGATACAGAAATGGAAGACAGCAGCTGTGTTCTGGCAAAGTCCACAGCTGGAGCCTTGCAGAAGCTGGAAAGAGGGGTCCCGGTGTGTTTTTGCCCCCTTCTCTTGATAGGAAAGAACCTCCTTTGCCTGCTCTTTGGAAGGAAGGAAGAAAACGTCATAGAAACCAGAAACGGGGGGATAGGGGAGATCTCCCCTCTCAGTACCTCCATCCTTCTTCTCGACTTCGTCCCGGATAAGGGGGGAGGTTAGGGTCACCTTGAGCGTGAGCGGAAGCTCCTGTGTGCTATGGATGATGATGGCTGCTTCGTCAGTGCAATGTTCAACGTGGTACGTCTCTTCTGTGAGTTTCTGAAAGAAAACAGCATTGTTAGCGGAGTCATAAGGGGAAAGGGAAAACTAAAATTGCAGACATGCCGCCGATTCGACTGGGAGACCGTCTAAGGACAACAAAGCTCCTTGGCATGGAAGATGGAGTGACAGCACCCCCTCGTGGCCGGAGACGAGCACAGCCTCCAGGTGCCGGAGATGGAGAAAGACGAGAAGCCTTTACCTCTGTTTGTGTACTGTCTGTCCTTGTTAAATGTATAACGGCATTGGATGTTTGCTGAATATGTGTTCTGTCATCCACCCTGAGTCCCCTCGGGGAGACAGGGCGGAATATAAACAAAGTCTGTTAATATAAATAAAGTCCATTATTATAGTTTGGTAAGAAGAAGAACTTAATTTTTCTACCCCGCCCCCATCTCCCCGAAGGGACTCAGGGAGGCTTACAAGGGGGCAACATACAACTAAAAACAGAATAATATATTAAAGTAGCATAAAAACAGCATAAACAATGTATTGTCGAAGGCTTTCATGGCTGGAATCACTGGGTTGTTGTAGGTTTTTTCGGGCTATATGGCCATGGTCTAAAGGCATTCTCTCCTGACGTTTCGCCTGCATCTATGGCAAGCATCCTCAGAGGTTGTGAGGTCTGTTGGAACTAGGAAAAAGGGTTTATATATCTGTGGAATGATGACCAGGGTGGGACAAAGGACTCTTGTCTGCTGGAGCTAGGTGGGAATGTTTCAACTGACCACCTTGATTAGCATATAATGACCTGGCAGTGCTTAGGGCAATCTTTTGTTGAGAGATGATTAGATGTCCTTGTTTGTTTCCTCTCTGTTGTTGTGCTGTTGTCATTTTAGAGTTTTTAAATACTGGTAGCCAGATTCCTCACAACAGAGAGGAAACAAGCAAGGACATCTAATCACCTCTCAACAAAAGTTTGCTCTAGGCACTGTCGTTATTCAGATCATCTGTCACAGGAGTCGTTAATCGCATGCACAACGAAACATCCACGTCTCTAATTCCTTACAGGGAGGATGCTAGCCTAATCTCCTTGGTGAGGCAGTTTCAGACGAGGGGCCACCACCAAGAATGCCCTCTCCCTCGTCCCCACTAGCCACGTCTGAGAGGGGGGTGGGAGCGAGAGAAGAGCATCCCCGGAAGATCTGAAGAGAGCAATCCAGAAAAAACAAACAGACCCAGATCAGTGTTTTCGAAGACATGCCCTTCATCATCAGAAGAAGGCGCTTGGAGTGTCTCACCTGGATTTGGATGGGGAGATTGTCTTTGACGAGCGACAAGAGGGTCTGCGTGGGCTTCTCTTTGCACATCAGGACCAGCTCCAAGTCCATGTCGTCTTTGATCAACAGGCCTTTGGCCACCAAGCCGATCCGCATCACCCCGCACAAGACCCGGCCACCTTGGTCCCTGAAGGCAGAAAGGGTCGCACCTCAGAGTAGGCTCACCTTGCTCAAAACACCCCACTGCACACCGCCAGAAGTCTTTGTCGTTTATTGAAAAATAAAGGATAACAAGTTCTTAAAAGCAAAAGTAATGTCCTAAAAGATCAATACAAAACAACACTTTGAAGCATGATCCAAAAAGGCACCAGCAAAGCAACATCCCATGAGAACATGACTGAGTCCTGAAACCATGAACACAAGAACTGCAAGATAATCCAGACAAGTAAAATGCAAGCTTCTTGGTTAAACGAAAAGTTGCTCTGACAAAGGTTTGGTCCCAAACACACAGCTTAATACCCTTTGCAAAACATGAAGGCGTTTCTTTGGCCTCTGACCTCCTTCTTGTTAGCTATTCTCACACTCCTTCGAACTCTGAATCCCAAACAGTCAGCACAACCTAAGGTCAGTCTGTTCATTTCTTTGGCCTCTGACCTCCTTCTTGTTAGCTATTCTCACACTCCTTCGAACTCTGAATCCCAAACTCAGCACAACCTAAGGTCAGTCTGTTCATTTCTTTGGCCTCTGACCTCCTTCTTGTTAGCTATTCTCACACTCCTTCGAACTCTGAATCCCAAATGGTCAATTTATTTATTTATTTATTTATTTATTTACAGCTTTTCTATTCCGCCCTTCTCCTCACCTCGCAGGGGACTCAGGGCGGATTACAGTGTACACATATATGGCAAACATTCAATGCCAATGTTTTGGACATACAAACATACAGACATACACAGAGGCTATTTAACTTTTTTTGGCTGCCAGGGGAGCTGTCGCTTTCCTCGTCCATCTGCGACGCTGATGAAGCACTTCTGCATTCCCCGCATGCTTCCCTGCTGGAATGCTTTGCTGGAGTCTTCTTTATGGCCTCATTATTTAGTTAATTTAGCCTCCCCACACTTTAAGGTGGTACCTTATTTTCCTACTTGACAGATGCAACTGTCTTTCGGGTTGCAAAGGTCGACAACAGGCTACACAATTGGTTGGAAACCCACTCCAACCTGGGCTGGCTTCGAACTCATGACCTTTTGGTCAGAGTGATCTTAATGCAGATGACACTCAGCCAGCTGCACCACAATCCCGGTAAACACAATCTAAGGTTAGTCTGTTCGTTTCTCTGGCCTCTGACCTCCTTCTTGTTAGCTATTCTCATACTCCTTTGAACTCTGAATCCCAAACGGTCAGCACGATCTAAGTTTCCTGTTTCGTCAAGGTCAGTCTGTTCGTTAGTGCTATCCAGTTTGCCTTCCTGCTCATTATCAGGCTGAGAACTGCCCTCCTTCTCTGAGTCAACCTGCACCTGGCTAGTTTCAGTATCAACAGACTCTTTTTTTTGCTGTGGGAAACTGAACTTCCACACCCTGTTCCTCACTGACTATAACAGGGACATTTTGAACCAGATAGTGAACCTGAATCCCATCATTCAACAGTGACAAATGCAAGATACTCCACTTAGGCAGAAAAAATGGAATGCAAAGAGACAGAATGGGGGACAATGAGGCCTGGCTCGAGAGCAGGACGTGTGAAAAAGATCTTGGAGTCCTCGTGGGGAGGAAGGGGAACATGAGCCAGGAATGTGATGTGGCGGCAAAAAAAGCCAATGGGATTTTGGCCTGCATCAATAGGAGCATAGTGTCTAGATCTAGGGAAGTCATGCTCCCCATGTTCTATTCCGCTTTGGTTAGACCACACCTGGAATATTGTGTCCAATTCTGGGCACCAAAATTCAAGAGAGATATTGACAAGCTGGAATGTGTCCAGAGGAGGGCGACTAAAATGATCAAGGGTCTGGAGAACAAGCCCTATGAGGAGCGGCTTAAGGAGCTGGGCATGTTTAGCCTGAAGAAGAGAAGGCTGAGAGGGGATATGATGAGAGCCATGTATAAATATGTGAGAGGAAGCCACAGGGAGGAGGAGGGAGCAAGCTTGTTTTCTGCTTCCTTGGAGACTAGGACACGGAACAATGGCTTCAAACTACAAGAGAGGAGATTCCATCTGAACATGAGGAAGATCTTCCTGACTGCGAGAGCCGTTCAGCAGTGGAACTCTCTGCCCCGGAGTGTGGTGGAGGCTCCTTCATTGGAGCTTTTAAACAGAGGCTGGATGGCCATCTGTCAGGGGTGCTTTGAATGCAACATTCCTGCTTCTTGGCAGGGGGTTGGACTGGATGGCCCATGAGGTCTTCCAACTCTATGGAAGAACCTGACTGTGAGAGCCGTTCAGCAGTGGAACTCTCTGCCCCGGAGTGTGGTGGAGGCTCCTTCTTTGGAGGCTTTTAAGCAGAGGCTGGATGGCCATCTGTCAGGGGTGATTTGAATGCAATATTCCTGCTTCTTGGCAGAATGAGGTTGGATTGGAGGATGGCCCAGGAGGTCTCTTCCAACTCTAGGATGTACTTCCTGACTGTGAGAGCCGTTCAGCAGTGGAACTCTCTGCCCCGGAGGGAGCGTGGTCGAGGCTCCTTCTTTGGAGGCTTTTAAGCAGAGGCTGGATGGCCATCTGTCAGGGGTGCTTTGAATGCAATATTCCTGCTTCTTGGCAGAATGGGGTTGGACTGGATGGCCCATGAGGTCTCTTCCAACTCTAGGATTTTATGATTCTATTTTGAAGCTGTTCAGAAGTGGAACTTTCTGCCCCGGAGTGTGGTGGAGGCTCCTTCTTTGGAGGCTTTGAAACAGAGGCTGGATGGCCATCTGTCAGGGGTGCTTTGAGTGCAATTTTCCTGCTTCTTGGCAGAATGGGGTTGGACTGGATGATGGCCCAGGAGGTCTCTTCCAAATCTTTGATTCTATGATCATCCTCATCAGAGTCACTCTGTGGTTCCAGCTGAGTCACAACAGAAAGGTGCTCACAGGTTTCTGTTTATAGGACAACAACGTTGCGTGGGTTCAGCGCCCAGGTCTCCTGGCCACTGGGCAAGCTGGTAAGTGCTTCTGGGAATTGGAGAGTCCTAGGGAGAACACTGTAATCCAGTGGTTCTCCACCTTCCTAATGCCTTGACCCCTTAATCCAGTCCCTCATGTTGTGGTGACCCCCAACCATAACATTGTTTTTGTTGCTACTTCATAACAAACATTTTACTATTGTTATACATTATAATGTAAATATCTGCTATGAAGAATGTATTTTCATTCACTGGACCAAACTGGGCACAAATACCCAATGCACCACATGTAAATGCTAGTGGGGTTGGGGGAGGATTGATTTTGTCATTTGGGAGTTGTAGTTGCTGGGATTTATAGTTCACCTATAATCAAAGAGCATTCTGAAACTCCACCAGCGATGGATTTGAACCTAATTTGCCACACAGAACTCCCATGACCAACGGAAAACACTGGAAGGGTTTGGTGGGTATTGACCTTGAGTTTGGGAGTTGTAGCTCACCTATATCCAGAGAGCACTGTGGACTCATGCAATGGTGGATCTGGACCAAACTTGGCACAAATACTCAATATGCGCAAATGTGAACACTGGTGGAGCCTGGGGAAAATAGACCTTGACTTTTGGGAGTTGTAGTTGCTGGGATTTATAGTTCATTACAATCAAAGAACATTCTGAACTCCACCAACGACAGAATTGGCTCAAACTTCCCACATGGAATCCCCATGACCATCAGAAAATACTGTGTTTTCTGATGGTCTTTGGCGACCCCTCTGACACCCCCTCGCGACCCCCTCAGGGGTTGCGACCCCCAGGTTGAGAAACACTGCTGTAATCAAACCCACAAACACGGAGGCTAGGACCAAGATGGGTTTAAAGGTGATGATGATTGGATTGGGATGAGGACTCAGCCAATCCAGCCTCTTGTCTCAATGGAGGCATGGCAAAGGGCTGGAAAACTCTGCCTATCTCTTAGGAGAAAGCCCATTTGGGGAAGAGAAAGCAAGAGAACGGGAAAGCTTTGGAAACTCTTTGGAGGGGGCGAGATGAGAAAGCGCGGAGGTTGCATCTGGGTCTGTGGAGGAACGGAAGAGATGTGTACGGAGACCTCCTCCTTCTGCCGTGTCTCTCTATCTGCACAGAGACTCTCTCTCCTTCGCTTAGAAATATTTGGGCCAAGCGGAAGAGAAGCATCTGTTGCCTCCCCAGGGGAAAGAGGCACGCCGCTCGGTCGGTCGTCTCCCTGGTTCTTGCAACCAGACGGGAACTCGCCGCGTTCTGCTTTTGCTGTTTTGCTTCTGTCGATCGGGACATATTTTCTGCTCAGCGTTAAGATGCAAACAAGCCCCATCTTTGCAAAGGGGGGAAAGAAAGGACAAGGGGGGGGGGGGAAGAGATTTAAGAACGCATGAGGGAGGGAAGGAACACAGCAATGAAGGCTTCAAAGCAGCACCGTCAAGCACATTCGGGTCGAGAGATGCATCAGCCTTATGGTTGCCTACAAGGGGCCATTGAATCCATGATACACAGAGGGCCAACTATCTCTCTCTCTCTCTCTCTCTCTGTGTATGCATGTATGTGTATGTGTGTGTGTATACACACACACATATATACACATACATACACACACACATATAAGCAATGTTAGTTTGTGGGATTAACATAACTCAAAAACCACTGGACAAATTGACACAAAATTTGGACACTATACCCCTAACAGACCAATGAGTGACCATCACTTTACCCCCCCCCAAAAAAAAGTGGAAAGGACTTAAAAACCCCCAAAAGCTAAATGTCGAGGCCTTGGTCGCTCTCTGGAATGGGGAGATGACCAGGGCAATTGACATGATCGCTCCGGAGCGTCCCCTCTCAAGTAGCCGAGCTAAACCAGCCCCTTGGTTTACCGAGGAGCTGGCAGTGATGAAGCGAAGGAAGAGGGAACTAGAGAGCGTGTGGCGTTCGGATCCAAGCGAGTCAAACCGAGCACGGTTTGTGTCCTTTCTTAGGGCATATGCCGCGGCAATAAAGGCCGCAAAGAAAGTTTTCTTTGCGGCCACTATTGCGTCTGCAAAGAACCGTCCGGCGGAG